TTTAGCATTTGTTTAACTTCTGTTGCTGTTTTTGGCTTTCTGACAAGATTCTGCTAATCAGTTTCTGTCTTTCTTGTTTGTGCATTGCAATGTGTGCAAATCTTGCCACCTATGCTCTTCCTCTCTTTTTACCTTTGATTATAGAAAAGGCTTTGAAGAAAGTAATTTATAGAAGCAAACTGCCAAGGTACCTTTTGTGCAGGATAAAGGTATTTTCATGTTACTCATTGAAATTATGTGGATAAGAGGTATCAAATAAGCATTATCTGTGAGTCTGCAGAAAATGTTTTAGGTGAAGTAGTGTGGGTCCAGACATGTCACAGTGTTTCAGCAAGACCTGAAATGAGGAAAAGGAAGAGAGATCAACACAAAAAGGGACCAGTCCCTTTGAAATACAGAGCAGAAAGATTCATTGGTAGAAGTGAGCATTGGGGTAGCAGATACACACATCAGAATTACTGCATCCACGTGAGGGAGGGGAGGAGCTGCACTCTTTGTGTTCCCAGGAGCAGGTAAACCTGCTTTGATCAAGTCTTGAACTAAAACTTCTCCTGCCTGTTCGTGTTCATTACTGCATAGATTTTGAGCAACAGCCTTCCCAACTGTCTGCTTATTGCCATAAGGTAGAAAGGAACTCATCATTCTCTAGAATTTGGACCTTGTTTCAGTCTTGTTGAGATTTGGTAGTAGTCAATTTTCTGTCACCCAATAATGAATTTTGCTAACAAACTGTATGTGGTGTCCCTCTCTTTGGAGAGACTGTATTTTCAGTGGGCATCTAGTTTCAGAAATTTTTTTTTTGCAGGGGCAAAAATAAAAATGATTTTACCAGAATCACTGGAGACCTCTGGAGAAAACACCAATTATTTTCCTTGCAGTATATGAAAGCTCACATGTTGGTTCTGCCTGTAGCATCTTATCAGGAGAGATCAGAAACAGACTGAAACTTTCATTTGGACTCGGTACTATTAATAAGCCTATTACTGACGGAAAAAGACATAAAGCTTCTTATGCCCAGTGCAAATGTTGGCGATTTCAAATTAGATGTGTTTATTTGTAAAGGGTTGAACATTAAAATTTTGCTTTTAACTAATTCAAATAATTTGACTCATGCTGTTGATGTAATTTAAAACCACATTATTTAAACCAATTTTAAAAAGATAAGATTTATTTCTGAAAATAAAAGTTGTTTAACTAAAAGACATTCTGTGAAATGGAGAAATACAGTCTAAATATCAACATTGGATGGAAGCAAAAGTATTAGAACTTCTGTTGAGTGTTGGCAAATGAGTTTCAGCTGACAAAAACTTTGCTTGAAAACTGTCTGCCTGTTTTTTATGGATGGAAACACAGCTCTAGTAGATCTTTTGTAATGAAAGGAACTAACAGGAGGATGTCTTGACATAATTTTTTGCCTCAACCCAGGTAATAAATTATGAGATTTGCAGAAACTAGGTTCTGCAGCATTCATCTGCTATAATTTAAGATTTTACACCAAACCACAGAGTCGTGCAATGATATATCTGTGTGCATACATAAACATACAGCAAATTTTATTGGACAGAGGCTTTTGCCTTTAATGTAAAACCTACCTGTAAAAGGAATCACAGTTCAACAGTTGGTGTTTATATCCAGTTGTCAATAGAAGAACAGATAGTGTTGGACACAGTGTTGGGGACAACTTCAGGATGGTTTGGGAGAATGTCTACTGAGGAAAACTTCAAGATAATTTAGGAGAATGTGTACCTCTTTTGATTTTTATGATCTGTGACATATCTTTTCAAGGTAGTTCTTGTTAATTCCTTTTGGAATAGATAGCAGTCTCCAGACAGACTCCAGAGAGATATTTTGTGCCTAAATAGTGTAAGGAATTGTTTTCTGCAGAAGGTATCCTCACTCAGTCAAGCAACAGACTCTCATTTCTTTGCCTGGGAGCTTGTGCTGGGTGCTGTGTTTGAGGATGTCCCCTGCAGCCTTTAGCAGGTGCCTGCCAGGCTTTGCTCCCGTGCATGGACACTGTTGGACACCCCCAAATCCGGTGTCACGTCTGTGGAGTTCTGATGCAAATGGTTGAGTTCTCTCTGGTACCTGGCTTTTCAGGTCTCCTGAACTGCCTGGTTCCTTAAGATGTGCAGCATTGTTCAGGGTTCACAGCAGTTCCCATTCTGATCTGTGGAGTGGATGTTTCACTTAAACAGGAAGGTTATTTAAATAACTAATGCATTTGAGAAAAGCAGTCACTATTGAAACAGCAAAAAAAGCAAAAAAGGGATTTTTTTTTACACCAAGTATGCAAATTTTAATATGAAATCCATAATTATCTTATCAGTATTTGCTTAAAGGCAGAGTTGGCAGAATAATAAAATGTGGCACAGTTTGAAGAGCAGCACAATCCCATAGCTGTTTGTGTTACAGGCTGTAAACAGGAAACTATAAAACATATTCATGGCATACTAAAATGTTTGGAAACGTGCTACAGCAGCATAGAGGGAAATGTTTAAATAAGATCTTACAGTAAGGTGTTATTAAATAGAAAAGCAATGAACAGTACAACAAAAGCTTGATGTGTACGTAATCAAATGTCCTGCTAGAAATTAAAAAAAAAAATAGTAGATTAAAGAACTATAAATGGTAAATAGATGCTAGTGGGAGTGCCACACTAAAATACAGATTATAAAACAAGCTGACAAAACTTCAGATGTTTTTAAGGAATTGCATAGTCCCTCTGTTAAAGTGAAAATTAGAATATAACAGACATGCATAAGATAGGGAAATTTCTTCATGCAAATAGTATAGTCATCTTAATTCATAATTTAAGAATGCCTATTAAGAGGAGGAGGAGGCGACTGTATACATCAGGGGATATCCTGTATAACTGTATGCTCAGCTTTCTTTCAGCCTCTGAGTGAAATACATGAAATGCTGATTTTTCTATAGGTTGTTGTGGTTTGAAATTTATGTTATATACTGTGTACAGAAGTATGTGGACATAATAATTAATAATGCCATATCCATTCTGAGTGAAAGAGCAAAACCACAATGCTGAGCTGGACTGTGCTAACACTAGTGTTACTTCAACAACATAGATAATATGGAAATAAACCTCATAAATCCCACTGTGTAGAAGAGGGAGAAGGTACTAATTTATTTCTTCACCCAAATAAATTCATAGAAACAACCCAGTAATTATTAAAATACCCATTATTATAAGTCCAAAATGAGAGTAATTGTGGAAATGTGGTGTAAAGCTAAGAAAGGAGATGTTAATGTGCAAGGAAGAGTTTAAATAGGGAATTATGATATCCTTGGCTTTCTGCTGTGTAGCTGTCAGGCTCGGGCAGCTCGCTGGTCAATAGTGACATTCTGTGTGTCAGTGAGCAGAGTCTCCTGATACCTTAACCTGCAGTTCACACATTACTGAAGCTCCAACTGTCGAACATTCAAGTCCCTTGGTACCACTGCAGCTTCCAGACTCTCCTGACTGGCTCATGTTTCATTCTTTGGCAATTTGCCCTAATGATATCCCTCAGGAGCTTTCAGACCCTCTTCTTTTCCATATTTAATCGTGTTATATTAATCTGAGGGCTGAGCGAACTAGGCTGCACAAATTGTAATTGTCTGTAATTTCTGCTGCAATGGTCTTATAACTGCTTTTTTTTTTTTTCATTTTTAGTGTAAAAATACGTGTACAAAATAGTAGTGTAATTTTTTTATTTACAAATCTAAATGTCCAAGACAGCCAGGATGTGAACACTTTAAGTGCTGATCTGTTCCACAAAGAGGGTTGTTTTTTTTTTTTGCCCTGTAAAATCCATAATGTTTTAGCACTTGCTATATGGGCAGGATTTACATTTTATTTTTTGCTCTTTGTTTGGTTACTGTGAAAGATCGTGTCTAATAAACAGTGCTATTATCAAGTTAAACTCAGGTAGTAATTTTGTTGTGATATAAAACATTAGGACAGCCTCTTCTTTTCCATCAGCTTGGTAACTTCTACGTGGGGCATTCTCTTAAATTTTTTTCCCTTTTTCGATGAGGTTTGCAGTGCTACATGGGATGGGTATAGGCAACTGTGTTTTGAACTGTCTGGATTGTTTCTCATTCTCTTGCAACTCTGTGCCTGCATAATAAAATAATGAAATTTGAGAGACTCCCTTGTAGCAAAGATAGATCAAATTTGAATTATTTACATATTGCAAGATTATTTTGCTCACTTGTGGAATGAACTTGGCCTCATGTCTAATGAATCCCATACTTATTTGTTTCTTTGTTTTGGGGGTAAAGTGGTGGTTTTTTGTTTGTTTTAGAAAACCAGAGGTGTCCATTTAGGGTGGTAAGCAGTTCATAGCACCTCCTTGGTCAAGGATTCCTTCATTTTCCATGACCCTTGTGCCGGGCTTGGAAGTCTCTGCTTTGGGAAGGGAGTTCTGGAAGATTGTAATTAAGCTGCTTTGCTGTTACAGGGAATATTCACTTCTGATTTTTTTTTTATAAGATAGTTTGGAAATCAAGATAGTGACACAAACAGAAGTTAATGCTGCTTTTGAGTTTAGTGCTGTTCTGTGACTTTTTGCAGCTTCAGATCAATTCCAGTTAAAAATAGCAGAAATGGGGACCAGAAAACTCCCCTGAGTCTTTCCCATTCAGTGGAACCAAGTGAAACTGGGGTGCACTTCAGTCCTGTGTGTTCATGGCAGTGCTCATGTTTGACCATGACTGCATCAAGTAAATAATGATTATTTCCCTTTTTCCAAGGAAATAGCTGAGCAGGGAGAGCTAACTTGTTAGCCTGCCTTCTTGCAGATGTTGTGCTTATATACATACATCAGAGTTCTTTGTGGATGTGTTTTGGCAATTCGGAGTAATTTACAAAATTATATAATAGATGGTTTGGGAAAGTTAAGATTTTTGCGTGTCTAAAGTTAATTTAAGATTTTGTATTTTCTTTTTATTCATGGGTTTTTTTGTTGCCAATTCTGTGTGTATATTTTTATTTTTAGTTAACTGCTTGTGTTCATGCGTCAGCTGCATTGTTATATCCAATGTATTGGCAACATATTTACATCCCAGTGCTTCCTCCACATCTTCTGGACTACTGCTGGTAAGATAGCTAACCTGTTATCCCCATTTCTGAGATTCTTACCTGTTTTAGAATTCTGAGTAACTGATGAAAACACTGACTCTTTAGTGTGACTGAACATACAGTTTATGAAAGCACTTAGGCCAGTGCTTAAGTGATGACTTGACTAGGGATATTCCAGCATGCCTTGATGCGGTGTTTGAATTGGTATCTTGAATTACACTGCTGATTGCTATTAGTGCAGCATTTAGAATCCTGTTTGTAAGAACTGTTTCTGTTTTATTGGTAAGAGAATTCATGCAATAATTTAAATGCAAACATGTTACATGTTCTTTTATTTGGCTTTTATTTTAAGTTGAAATACATTATACTTCTAGAAGCATTCAAAAAAACGCTGATAATTTTTTCCACAATCAGATGTTAGTATTCATCAGTGATTTAGTATTTGTATTTTAACTCAGCCAGGCTCAGGATTCTAGCCAGTGCCTTCCCAGAAGAGCTTAAAAACTCCTTTTGGGACTCCAAAATTTTTATAATAAGAATTCTGCTTCTCCTGATGGGTTTCTGTTCACGTGACAGATTTTGTGGTTTTGGCATATTTTTAAGTTGAACAAGAACCACTTTTTTATTCACTTCTGATCCTTCAAGAGGATGATGTTTCCACATGCCTATTTTGCACAATATCTTGCTTTTATTCAGAGTAGTGGCAGAGATAACAAATGAGAGTTTCCGTTTTCCCTTTAAGCAGGAATATCTGTCCCTGGAGATTTTCACTTTACCTAGACCCTCTGGGTCTGTTATGGAAAAATGAACCATTTCAAGCTGTTCTAGAGATTAGGAATTATTTTTACTATATATAAAACCTGAGTCCCAGCCAGCAACTTAGCAAGCTAAGCCTATGTTTTCTTCATAGAAATAAATTATGTTTATATGCTTGCTGGGCTTTATGTTGTTGGTTTTGGTTTGGCGTTTTTCCCCCTCAAACCTACGAATGTATTGCTGTTCTAGTGAACTCCATCTAGTCTACTGAAGTTTTGTTTTCAAACAAATCCTCACTGTTTCCTTAAGTGTCTTTGATAGTTTCTCCTGAAGTTCACAGTATTTGTCCATGGTATATATTTTTTCTGTGGTAGTTCTTACAATTCACCTGTATATTATTTGTTGATTTAGAAAAGAAAACAAATGTTCTTCTCCAACCCCTCCTTTTACTTACAAATACAGCTAAACCTTTCATCTTTAAGGACAGTTTTCTTTTGAAGAAACTCTGTTGTAATTGTTTCTCCTTCTGCCTTTGATAAAATATACCAAGATGGGGTAGAACTTGGGTGTGTTTTAGTTTTTTTATTATTCAAACTTACGGCCAGAACCTTTGTAATTTTTCAGATCATCCAAAAATGCTGTCCTCAGAAGGCAGATTAACACCTTTATGCAAGCTGTACCCTGTAGAGTGCATCCTGAATACGAGAAGATTTTTTATTTCCCTTTCTAAGCCCAGATAATGTTTCCAGAAATAAAAATGTTAGATGCTGTACACAGCTCCATGTGACGATGATAATAGTTAGGATTCTAGGTCACTGTGGCATGACCTGAGAAATTTTTTCACTCATTACAAAGAAGCATGGAGTTTCTTAAACTTGTAAAATTAATTTATATCCCTTATTCTTTTTCACAGTAGTACAATAGAGTGGAGACGAAAGTTCGCCTGTTTTAGAGATGTTCAGAAGAAAACGTAAAGTTCATGAAAAGAAATGCACAACTGATAAATTTATCACAGTAATTCAGACCTTTTGACTCAGATTTTTGTGCATTTACATTTCTCTTTCTGTTCATCTGAATGGTTCTTTTGTGAGACGGGTTGGAAAAATGTAATAAAAACACATAAATGACTTAGCTTTCCTCATGTTCTGGTGTATTAACAGTAAATAAATGTTCTCCGCATAGGTATATAATACATCAAGTTAAAAAATCTTGATGAATTCTTAAGGTCAAAGTTTGTAGCAGGCCTGACCTAGTTTGCAGTCCAACAGGATCATGCCAATTAAAAATTAATAAAAGAATGCTAAAGTTATTTTGCCTACTTCTATTTTTGATGTCGTTTTGATAAGCAAAGTTCATTTTATAAAAGTGCCATTTTAGCTCAGCATGCATTTTCATACCTAGAAATTTCATTGCCACTGTTTCACTTGGACTTGTTGGATGTCTCCCATGAACTCTCATTTTCTTAGTGTTGTTCTGAAATGGCATTCAAGTATATGAAGTAGGGAAATATCAATTGAATAATTTGTTCATTCTGTGGAAGTAAGGCTTTTTTAAAACAAAGATAAAATATATTATAATCTGTTAAAGATAGGCCTGATTCTGTAGCCTTTTTTTTTTTTTTGCACATTAATCATATAGCATATTTTGAGAGAAATCCACTTTTTTTTTTTCCTATTAGTTGGACTAAGAATCTTCATAATATCATCAAGATAAAGGATACAATTCTGTGGGGTTAGACTTTGATAAATTACATAAAGTGCCTAGCTGGTACATTTTGTAGGCAAGAAAAAAGAAAAATGTATCTTCAATCAAAACAAGGCTATATTAAAATTATTTCAATACTTCCACTTGCCTTTTTAATTTAAAAAAAAATCTATTAATTTCTGTCCTGCTGCCTGATTTACAGGCTGGATTTAGAGCTAATGTAACAGATGATGCTGGAGTGTCGGTGTGGACTGCAGCACCCTCAGGAGTGCCAAGCTCCAGCGTGAGACCAGAGTGTCTGACCCTGGGCTTCAGGAGGGGTTTTGTACCCCCAGGCAGCTTAGCTCGGCCTTGAGTGCCATTAGGGGAGCTCCAGTGTGAGAACTGGAGTGACCAGCCAAAAAAGGAGATGTAAGAAATTTATTTTTCCTAAAAGATAGCAAAATATAGGCTGAGAAAGTAATATTCGTTGTAGCTGCAGCAAAAAATCTGCTGCACAGTTAATAAAAAATTGAGTTTTATATTATGTTATAAAAAATTGATTTCTCTTCTACATTTAAGTAAGTAAAAGGAGACTGTTGCGCTCAGTGGAGTGGGTGGCTGATTTTCAAGAAAACTCTTACAAAAATTAAATTTGAGCATTGATACAGTAATTATATTTGAATAATTTTTTTTTTTTAAGAACAAAGCTAATTTAATGGAATTTCTGTCTAATATCTTGGCAAACTAAATCACCAGTATTAGACTATATGCCAGTTTTGTTTGTGGATGATAAAGCATCTGTTATACTGGTGCTCTGTTGAGAATGTAATGCAATCAGAAAATTCGAGTTACAATTGCAGTAGGTCTTTATGAGATTTTGTCTTTTCTGAATTAGGATATACATACGCCTGTTTTCGTGAGAATGGGGCAATTATTTTCCAATTAACTTGGATGTTTTGCATAACATAGTAATTATTTTGGGCAGTGATACCACTGATTGATATTTTCGGTGATAAAATGCATAAGCAAGAGAAAAACTCTATAGCAGCTCCCAGTAGTATCGTAGTAAGCAATTTCATGTGCATATTACAGTCCTCTGCTGTTAAGACTTCAGAATCCAGCAGTAATGAAATTACTTTTTGCTGAAAACGATTAAATTGACTTTCCATGCCTGCAGTTTTTATTTCATCCATTTTCAAGATGTGCTTTGTGCCTTTATTCTGTTAACTTCAAAATTGAAATGGTGTAGCTGTTGCTTTGTTCTGTAGAGAAAAGGGCTATATGCTTCCCTTTTTAATGGCAGATTTATTAATGGAGTGAATCATCAGCTATCTTAAGTCAGCACAGGCGTGATGAAGCTACTGGCACAGTGTTGATGTATGAGAAAACCAGTGTGCATAAAATCCATACATGACATAGCACTTGGTTCCACTGTAGTTTTGCCTGTTCACATTATTTGTAACACAGATATCTGATATGAGGAACCTGAGTATCTGTTTTGCTGCATATTCTGCAGCAGAATTCTCAGTAATGTGCCAGCCATAATCATTCTTCCTGGCTTGGTTAAATACATTACATAGTACAAAGCATTCTTTAATCTATAGAGAGGTTTAAAGCTGTTCAAATCCTCTCTGAATATATATGGATGTCTGCTCTGGAGTGACACTCGTTTATAAGTCCATGTAATTTGTGTTTAGTTCACAAAGACATAAGGATTAGCCTGAATGAAGTCATCAGGAAGTGCTAAATTTTGTCAATATTGGGCTAAGAAAAAGATGTGTGGAAAAATAGAGGCCTCTTTCCCTTTTTGGAAGCCCCATTGCCCAGAAACCTTAAGCCATGACAGTTTGCAATTTCAGCAAACCTATATTTTGATATCATAGACACCATGAAATCTTGTTTGGGCCTCAGTCGGGCTGGGTTTTTGGTTTTGTTTGTTGGTTTTTGTTTGGATTTTTTTTTTGCACTGATCCTCACCTGTGGGACATTGTTAATGAGAGCAATTGGCTAATCCATATAATCCATAGAGTGTACAGATTTTTCTAAAATGGGCTGTAGTTGTAGGCAAGTGAGAATTGCTTTTTGTGGTCCCAGAGGTGGCACCAAATGGATGAGACCACATGAACTGGTGCACTGAAACCTTGCCCATCCTTGGGAATTCAGTCACCAATCAGTCAGTGCCACTGGCTCACATCTGTGATCAAATTATTGCCATGAGAGAAATTACTGTGTGTGAGTTGTGTACCTTGCCTTCCATTATTTTTCAGCGATTGCTTTTATTTAGTATTTTTTCTCTGTGGTCTGTTAGTGATTCATTTCCCATTGAGTTGCCTAAACTAGCCTGTCAATTGCTTACTTCTCTGGGAGTGAATATTGTCAGTAATTTCACAGTAACCAAAAGTCTCATGGTGATTGTTGGAGGCTTTTTCCTTCAGTGCTGGACACTGAGTATATTCTTAGCCAGTTGTTGCCAGAACAGAAGATTGTAGGAAACCGTGATACATAAGCCTAATTCAGTTTCTTGCTTGCATTCTGCAGGAAGTCTTATTGCAGTGGCTTTGTGTGGATATTTGTTCTATTTGGAGAATATAGTTCCTTGTCTTACGGAAATTGGAAAGGAGAAGTTTATTATTTTGAGTTAAAAAGGATATTATGCAGCTTGCAAAGGCTTGCCAGGGGAGGGTTTCAGAACCAAAACTGGTGGTAATGATATTTGTGTTGCACTGTGGTGATGGTGACCAGGACCATGTCCTCCCACTGGTGTTTTAGAACCAGCCCACTTTGGGAGCATTTGCTGGGTTAGCTCAATGTGGTCAGTTATTGGAACTAGGTCTGGAGGAAAAGCTGTGGTGCCTCCTTGCTCATGCCTCATAGTTTGCAGCAGCATCCTTTATTTTGTCTTCATCTTTACTGCAGAGTAAAACAAATATTCCTTGTCTAGTAAACATTCCTGTAGCAACTGTGTTCATTTAATACTGTCTTAAACAGTGACTGTTTACTAGGTCTTATGTGCCAAGATTTCAAATACTCCATTAGTGTTGTACTTAAAACTTGATGTTTTCCGCTCCTTTCCTTCAGTGCACCGATGCCTTACCTAATTGGTGTCCACTTAAGCTTGATAGAGGTAAGTTTACTGTCCACTTCTGTGTACTGGGAAACATGGGGGGTGTGTGCTGTAAAAAAATTGTAATGGAAATGCTTTAGGAAAAAATCCCTGTATTTTAGCACTCAGAATTAGAAAATGTGAGCTTCATTTGCTTTACTAAGTGAAAAATGTCTCTCACTGAAATCTTATGTTTGTAGTGTTTTATGAAGACCTGTAGCTCTACATCATGATTTTCTGTCTTATTAATAGGTCAGTGGTAGCTATTTTCCTGCCTTTTAGTACTTTAGCAACAGATTTTCCCAATAATGAGGAAAAATTTATTTTTCAGGAACAGGTAAAATTTATTTTGGAGTCACAGTCCTCAGATTTTGGCATTGTCATTTCCCAAATAATTCATGTTCCTGTCTCTCTGAAAACTTGCATCTAACCTACATCCCGTAACATTTCTAGCTATTAATTTAGAAATTAGTATTTTTTTGCCAAAAAACAAGAGATGGCTTTTAAAGATTTGAATGTTAAGCAACACAGTAGAACTCACCTGACTGGTACATAATAGATGGGTAAGAAGTAGTTTTGCTTTTTTCCATAACCATTTGATTATGCTGTGAAGCCTACATGTGCCATCTGATTATCATGCAGAGCAGATAATTGATTTGGGAACATTATTTGATTTGCACTTTTGCTAAAGCAGTTTCTAAGGATCAAGTCACATCTGCTAAGGTGATGGGGTGGGTTCTTCCCTGAGCCACCAGCACTTTTGTTTTTCCAAAAAAAGGCCTCCTACATCATCTATGCTTCTCAGCTCCAGCCACAGCCTTCTGTGCTCCCAAATCATTATGACCTGCATGCATCAGTTGTAATATCTTGATTAGGATGCTTTTTCTTATTCAATATGGAAATAATGGAACTGAAAGATCTGCCCTGAAAAAAGAAGTCAGTTCCTTCAGGAATTATTTCCTGCACTGCATTATTATGTATTATTGTAGGACCATATAGAAGAGAGGTCTATCCCTTTTTCCTGAAAGGAACAAATTGTTTAATTCTTAGCTGCTAGCCAAGTACACTGATGAAAAAGCATTTTATCCATTCTTCTGTGGTAATAGTGGGCATCACATGCTTGGTACTTACATAAATGTGCAAATAATTGTACTTTTTTCTGGTTTTCATCTGATTATATGATTAACATCCTATCTGTTTTTCGCAAATATGAGAGAATGAAATGTTGGTACAAGGCATGTGTAGTTCCAATATATATTTATCCAATATATTCAACTGTATTCTGTAAATATTCCTTTCAGAGATTATTAATATAACCTTAGTGTTTGAAGAACAGGAAGTATTTTTAAAAGCTACTCTGAATGCTGTCTCAAATTCCCAAATTCTACATCTAAAGCTCCAAATGTTTTTTGCCATTACTGTCCTTTGTATAAAATCATCATTTGTAATTTAGCACAGTATAAGAGTAATGTACTTCAGGAGGACACCATAGTAAATTGTTTTTCCAGTATTTTTCTTTTCTTCCTAACAGAGAGTAAAAAGTAGATCACTGGAAGATGTGGTTTTGCTAAATGTTGACACAAACACTCTAGAAACCCCTTTTAATGACCTGAACAACCTACCTGGTGAAGTGGTGAGTCTTAGACATTTCATTCTTTTTTTCTTATATAGGTGCTTGAATTACTCATAATTATTTTTGCCTCGTTTTGCTAACTGCTATAAAAGGAATAAGGGGGTGAAAAGCACCTAGTGCAGACCCCTATATTTGAGATTTTTTACCTTTTTGACAGCTGAGGAGACACTGAATGGAACATCATATTCCTTATTGTAAAAGTAGGATCATAATTATAAAGCTAGCTGCATTCATTAGGCAGAGCTGCTTTAAACGCAAGAGTCTCTTCATCTCATCTTAATCATTATATTACAAAGTAGGCATTTCTGTCTGCCTAGTGGCATGTCTTGCAAAAGAACGAGAGAGTTTTTGAAGGCAAAAAGAAGAAGGGGGCCAATTATCGGCTTCTGCTTCCCTGCCACCTGCCAGCGCTTTCCTTTTAATTAATGATCTGATGGCACTGGTCAATATAATAAGAAATGCTTGTACAGTTGGGGTCAGAAAATTCAGGCTTTGATCTTCTTCAACTTTGTGAAACATTTATTTGTTTTCTCTAAATTATTTCAGTTTTATTTTAATCTCTTCTATCCTGCTGAGGGCTGCGTGAATGAAAACCTATACTGTTTGTCATTTGCCTTGGCAGAGCAAAGACTGCTTACTTAGAATTCTATTTGTAAATTAAACTGCAAACCCAGTTTGTCATAAAAGACATCTGATCCTTTTGAAATGACGAAAGCTGTCTTTTGTCTGTAAAGGATGATAAATTAAGTGCCAGTTCTTTCTGGACTTTGATCTTGCAGAGGGTGCCCCCCCGCTTTTTTTTGCCTTTTTTTTTTTTTTTTTCTTTTTTTATTGCCTATAGGAGAACATACTCTGTATATCATTTTAAACAGTCACAAGATTCACTTATCTTGTTTTTCCCAGTAGAGCTCTAAAATAATATAATTGTGAAACCACTGTTTTCATTATTCAATTAAAGATGCACAAGCTGTCACAAATAGTTGTCAAGACAAAGAATTTTATATCAAAATATGAAATCAGAGAGTTACTTTTTCTGAAATTGTAAATCATAAAATACCCCTGTTGTAATCAAAGTAAGATCCTATGGTGGCATACTGTGTCTTTTGTTACTGTTGATAATTTGTATATATTTAGTACAATAGAAGTCAATACTGCCCTTTGATTTTAATGATCTAAAAATAAGTCTAAACATTTTTATAGATCATCTGGTCAGTCTTTGGACTCAGTATCAACTGTAGTTCAGAAATGTAAAAGACTATAAAATTTCATTGTGATGTTCCGTGGTTTACATAAGTGTATTTATTATTAACTTGATATATTTTTGTGATGTTTTGTGATTTACATATGCATGGATACATGCACAAACTTGTGTACAGTAAATTTGACTGTACTCTGTCATTCGAGAGTATAACAAGTAAAGAAGGAGTCATTTCCTGGTGTGTCAGGACCTTTAACTGGACTTCCACTGAGTGAATAGGGTTGATGTTATAATGTCATGAAGGCCTGCATGCTAAATAATAGAGAATTAGGCATCATATTCCATGAGATACTGGAGTTACAGCTGGAGGTCCTTTGAACAGCCAAAATGGATCTTTGTGCAATAAGAGGCACTGGTCATGTGTTTTACAGGTGCATATCAACATGATCTCTAAATAAGCAGGCTAGCATGAAGGAAATAGGGATACAGATCTTCCTACTTCTAGAAGAGTATTTTCTGCCAGAATATATGCATGTTATTACTGGAAATCTTAATGTAGGTTATCCAAGTGTACAGACTGCAGACTAGACTTAAAATATTTTTTCCCTATGTAATATAAAACAAAAAATACCCCCCAATGTTCTATGCAAAATATACTTGCAGAACTTGAGGACTTTATACTGGAGCTTTTAATTTGAATAATCACATCTCTTACTTCAATCCGTAAGGCACTTTAATTAAACATTTAGGTAGAATGCATATACAGTTATAGTTGGAAAACCTGGAAACAAAAGGCACAGGGCTGTGTTTGGTTCATAAGGTGACAAAATGCTTGTCCTCCTTTTGCATTCATGAGGGGCAGTGCAGCTGCTGACATCTTGGGGAAAAGTAAAAGACACGTGAGTGTAGAGTCAAAATGGTAAGTCAGGCTTAAAACATTAAAGGGAACGTCAAAGATACATGTGTGAAGCATTTAAACTTATATAGAAAAACCTCATGAGCATACATACAAAAGTAGTAAAACTTCTGATGAAAAAATATAATGAGTACCTCTGAAAGGCATTAAAATAGAATGAAGAACTGAAAATATAAAAGAAGTTGTAGTCTTACTGTCCCTTTCAAAAATTGGTTCCAGGTTGGTTGACAACCTAACAAAAGAAATGCAATATTTTCCAAGTTTTCTAAAATTGTTTCTTGTGTCCAGAGGGAACAGAATAATTATTTTCTTGATCAATAAGCCTGATGATGTCCTCACAGCATAGGTATTTAATGGTTTACCCTTGTATATATGCTCCGATTGTGAATTTTTTTGGGATAAATTTAAGATTGAAAGAAACATTATTCTATGGCGTTGTCTAATAAACTGTATAATAAATTAACTGAGATTTAAAGGCATTTTTAAATCATTCACTTAAGCATTTAAATTATAGGTACAGGCTAGATGACTTTCCATGCATGTGAACTTTATTATTCTGTCAGACTGACCAGTGGTCTTGACTGTTCAAAGGTCAGTGGTCACAGTTGTCCTGAATTACCAGTCCTTTTTTCATGAGGACCCTCTGCTGCGTTGCATGCTGTAATCTTCTTAATGGCTTCATTCCAATATTCACACATAATATTTTAGATTTATTGACTGTTAGAAATACTACCATGCCAGTAGCAGTTCCGCTACTCCTAAGGTATTTAAAATTGGAAGAATAAATCAGGGCAAGACTTTCAGGAATCCTTTGTTTTCTTGGAAGGGGGAAAGCCCTTATTTTTTTTTTCACTCTTCTGACAAGAAAGCTTGTTTTTAAATTTCATCATTTCACTGTGAATTTGTCTATTATTTTTTAATTAAAAAAAAAAAGAAAGTAAGGAGCTACTTCTCTGGGAGTAAATTTCCTAATATAATAATACTGAGATCACCACTTTAATGATATAAGGCATTAGAAGAACATTCGTGACCATAGACTGAAATGTATAAATTTTGGGCCTGACCCTGCAATACCTGCTTGAACTTAACTCTGACATAAAGACTTCTCCCTTGCTCAGATGTGAACACTTTCCCAAACAGCTTGCAGAATTGACAGCATCACTTCTAGCAACCAAATCTTAATGACTTGAAATCATAGACTGAGCAGAACTTTTATAAATATGATCTTCAGAAGACAACAGACTTTATAGTCTTTTAGCTTCTGTGGTGGTTAAATATTGTCAACTGCAAAAGCTACAGAGCTGTTGAAAGATGTGTAGTGTTTGTACTGCCTGCTACCTACACACTGTGATGCAGTACAGAACCTAAACTGGACTTCAGAGCTTTAGTTTTGAGATTGTTAAAGTCAAAGGATTTTAACACCATAAATTTGGCATATGACCATTACTGTTGTAAAAGTAGCATTTGAGAAGTAGGCTATAATTTATGTAGAAAATGGGTTACTTTATGCAGCGATTACTGGGAGTGCAAATTATTTTGTAAAATACCATGATTAATGGTATTATAAAGAAATTAAAATCAATGTATAACAGTGCAATTAAAAAGATTTTTTTTTGCAAAATATAAATAGCATAATTTATGGTGGTTTTTTCCATCAGAAAATATCCAAATATATTTTAGAAACTCAGAACAGTCAGCAGTGTTTGCAGTGTTGTGAAATGACTGTTTATTGTGAACAGGTACTTAAGGTTGAGATTCTATTGAAACTTGATATAGTTTTAAAAGCTTGAATATGAGATTGAAAAGTACAACTAGTTTTGAAAACATTTGCATTTAAGTAGTTGTTTTTGTCTGAATGACAAAACTGATTAAATGCTGGAGGTCTCCCGGAGATGCCTAATCCTCTGTGTATAGATAATAATCAAATGCATAGAAACCCTTTACTAGAAATAGGGATTTAAATATCAGAGTATGGTTTGTTTTGAGGTTTTTGTTTTGTTCCTTTTCTCTGTGATTTTCTCTTACTTTCCTGTTTTTGAGAGTTACCTTCTACTTACTTGTATAGTGGTATCATCTGATGGAGAACGGCAAAAAATACTTGAAAACATAAAAAGTGTTGCTAATACTAGAGAAATAACTGGATATATTTTTTCAGAGAACTAATAGTCATTTGGAACTCCAGTGAGTGGTTCTGTATTTCTCAGACAACAAACATATACAAACATAATTCTTCTATATGTGTTTAAATTTATACGTGATTCTTCTGTTCACGTGGATATTGAAGAGATATTAGTCATGTTTTCTGTCTATCATATATTTAGATTTTAGGACACCTAGAAAGGATGTATGGGTAACCATTTCAATAAATTATGCTTTTTGTTTCAATGATCAACACAGTAGATTTCTACATTTTAGATACACTTAATTACACATCAGTCTCATTTGTATCTTTGAAAAACTACTGTATTGATTTCAACCTGAAAGTTCTGATTGCTCTTCACTGGCAGTGTTTAGCAGTCCAATGAAGTCACCTTCCTGTGAGAAGCTGTTGCTAGGAGAAGATAAAAACAGTTTGTTTCTAGTGTAAATTAATAATACCATTTCTGCAGCAGATCACTGGTGTCTTTCAGAAATAAATTTTAACAGCATTCTAACCCCTGCAGTTTGTTGCTTGCAGTTCTTTATTTTTAAACTTTGGGAAAGGCTATTTCTGCAAGAGAGATACAAAGAATAAAGGTTTGGCATTCTTAATCATAGTTAGGTAGATGGATTAAAATATAAAATATGAAATATAAATGAGGAAAAGGTTTTGATACAGATGCTGCTTGCTGTTTTTTTGGCTTGGTGTCAGAATTGTGTGATTTTAAAATAATTTAAAGTGCTATTAATGAAGTCACCCAAAGGGGTCTCACATTTCCTTGGTTTGAGGTGCATGGATGTAAGCAATCACAATTCTGCTATGTACCAGGTCCTTCCAAGGAGTTCAGTGCACCCTGTCTCTTACCTGTGCCTGCTGTCCTGGCTGTAAGGACTGCATTATCACTCTGTCTTTGATTCAGATGTGCAACAGGGAGAATTGGACATCAGCCTACCCAAGTGTGGCTGGGCTGAGCCCTGAGTAAGCACTGTTCTCTGCTTGTGTGTTCACTGGCCTCAGCTTGGAGGAGGCCAAGGCAGGTCCCAAGGGGCACTTCAGGGTCCCCAGCCAGGGTCCTGCAGGGGACAGCAGGAACATCAGGGCTGTGCCTCACATGATCTCTGCGGGCTTCTTCTTAATAGCACCGTGCTCCTGGTTCTTCTGCAGAATAATCTGATGGAGCTCTTCTTGCCTTTAAGCATTGCCTCCTGAGAGAAGCAGGAGTTGGAGGAGCTTTCTTTGAACTCTGGCATTGCCTTTCTGAGGCTCAAACTCCCTGCAGGACAGCACACAAAGATGTGTATCAGTCTAGAGTGCCTGCCTCCAAACTGCCAGCCCATTGGAAGGTCTTAATATTGCTGAGCTAATAACACACCAGTATGGCAGCAGAGCAGGAGATTGGTTGTTTTCTGCTGTTCTTTTTAACACCTTTTTTGTTTAAAGCATCCTGTTAATCAAATTTACAATAGGGTGCTTAGGGTCTGCCTGAACTGAGAAAATTACAGAATATCTTTTTGATTCATATTCCCCGTTTGGTCATGTAATCCCTCTGCTCTGCATTATCTTCATCCCCTCTCGTCTCTTAACCTGTCCTATCATCTGCCATAATTTTCCCAAAATCATAAGGTATAATTTAGAAGAATATCAATTTAAAATAATGTAAAACTTTTCTACTTTTTCCCTCCCTTAGAAGGAAGGGAAGAAGTTTAGAAGATGCTTTGCCTGTCTCGACAGAGACAAAATTTGAGCGGTGACAGTTCTTGTTGAATTAATGTTATTGCTTTTATTTTAGTCAAATTGTGCTACTGTGTATGGGCAGGTCTTCCTTGTATGCATTTATTTTCCCCACAAAAAAATCTTATTTTTTACAACTGTAAAATAATCGTACAATACAGAACAAAAGAAAAAGAACAAACCACAAAACCAAGACAGGCATTTATTTTTTCAACCTTGAACTTCTTAACTGGTTTTTGTACTTGGACTTGTACGTTTTTTTTTCCTTTTGAGGTCTAAGGCAAGAACGTAAATGAGTCTTGGTGTGTGCTTTCCATGGGCTAAACGAATCAGGCTCTAAACTTTTATCTAGATCTGTGGAGCTTGGATATAAATTGAAAAGATCATAGCTATGGGGAAAAGACCTATACTGTAAAGGCCTTTCTGCATAGATTATGAACATCATAACTCAATAATTTTTTTTTCCAAACTATAGTTATAATTGGACCCAATGGGGGTCTCTCTCTTTGATCAGATCACAGTAACTGTGACTTTACACTGGGAAATGTCACTACTGTGAAGGTTTATCACCTGTAGAGCTGGTCTTTTCTCTGATGCCATGTTCAGTTCTCATTAGCATTATTCAAAGTTTAGTTGTTAATTAGGTTGACACTTCAATTACAATCATCATCTACAAGAGCAGTCAGGACTGCTTGCATAAAGAAACAAAAAGATACTCATTCTTGCATATATTTCCAAAAGAATGAAAGCTGTATTGGTGATAAGTTTGTATTTCTAATATTCCTTTCAAATAGTAACTCAGAATGTTACTTCATTTAGGGACTTAAATAATGCTCTGTTGGGTACATTGCAATACAAAGGGATGTAGAAATGTGTATTCTGTGTAAGTGGAGTTGACTTATTTTCCAGGTGTCCCTCATGATGGAAATTAGAAGAATATAGGCTGTATCTGAGCATAATTCCACATATCTTTTAATAATTCCGGAATTAAATTATTTTCCTCCAAAATACATTGAAGTAACAGTTACTTAAATTAAAACTTCCTCCCTTTCTTTTTTTCTTTTTCTCTAATTCTGTCTAACCAGTGTTTGTTATTTGCCAAGTAAAAAAGACAAACCTCCTTTAAAAAGTCAAACACTATAATCAGAATGGTCTTCTTTTTTGCTAAACTGAAGGCACTTCCTAATTACTGGTTTGTGTTTTTTTTTTTTCTTCCCTTTCACATTTATCTTCAAGGACAATTCTGGAGGCCGTGTAACACTGAATTTACAAAAAACTTTTCTCAGCTATTTGACTGTGGTGGCAGGTACTCCCATGTTGCATGAGAAATTATATAAGATAGGAATTTGACCTAAGATAAGAGATATTCCTTGGCACTGACTAGTAAGTGACCATTAAGAGTCCTTAAAAATAAACCTTCATAGCTTAAATAAAACAGATCCAACTGTCTACATTCAAGCAAGCAAATACATGTTATGCTGGAACAAAAATCTGCAAAGAAGCGACTCACGTGCATTTTGCTGTAAAATAATTAAGCTTATTTATGTCAAGAGGCCTTGGGAAAAAAAAAAAGAGAGCATAAACCAATCTGCATTAGCGCTCTACCATCATCCCCTGCCTTCATTTCAATTAACAGACCAGCAGGTGCTCCTTGCAGTTAAAAAGATAAGCTATCAAGGAGGAGGATGAATTTTTGGCTGACCTATAGACACTATGGTTTGCCTGCTGATTGGGTTCATACCTCGCTGTACCAATTTCTGAGGTGTTAATTTAACTGTTCCACTCTGTCACGCAGGTCTCGGCCTTGAAAAATAAACTGAAAAAGCAGTCGACAGCTACGGGCGACGGGGTGGCCAAGGCCTTCCTTCGGGCACAGGCAGCGCTCTTCGGATCCTACAGAGACGCACTGAGATACAAACCAGTAAGATGGCTTCCCTGTTGCCTTTTTCGCTGAATTTATAAGAGCAGGGTCTCATTCTTTCAAGGAAAATGTGAAATGTTTTATCCTGGTCTGGAATAGTCTGTTTCAAATCTTACTGTGTGCTAAGAAATTGGAAGATACCACCATCTCTTGACAGTGAATTGAACTGAAAAATACTCATCCAAAGTCAGCTGTTTTCTTATTTGTGTCAGCTTTATTCTTTGTTTAGTATAAAATCAGATTTTATTAGCGGATTTGCTCACACACAGCTCACATGGTTTAACGTGCTGAAGAACTGAAAGGGCTGTGCCTTTCAGACTCCATCATTTTTCTGGAGGTTTTGCTGTATTGAAGGGGAGAAGCTTCTTTCCTAGCAGAAGCCAGATATGAGTCAAACATGCATGTCTCCTATTATGCATTTATCTTGATTAAACTTGGAAGACAGGAGAAATGAGAATCCATTTCATCTCATCAGATCCTCGGAATTTGTATTTTTAATATTTTGCTGATATTACCTTGATTAATGTTTTGTGAGCTTTCATAATGTCTAAATAATGAGGGTGACACGTATTGAGTTGGAGGTAAAATAATTTATCAGAATAAACTTAGAGATTAATTTCATCCATCAGTCCAGATTATTTTTCTTGCAAACTACTGGTAGTAGTTTGTTTGATCAAATGCACTGAGATGACATTGGATGAATCAGCTTCTGAGGATCGGATGTTTGGTTGTCTGATGGATTCAGATAAATTCAGATTTGACAGGAGAAAATCATCCTCACTTGAAGAGTCAAGTTAGTAAAGCTGGTAGGTGTGTGGAACATGGGTGGATTTGTTTGGGGGTGAGAAGAGTGCTCTAAGGAGCTATGGTATTCCTTGACGGAAAGGATAGGATAGCTTTTAATTCCAGAAAAGGGCTTTACTGGAGAGAAAATACAGTTTGGCCCTTGAGTGTTTCTTCTCTCCAAGTGGTTCTCTTCCAGGTAGTCTTTTGTGCTGTGGACATTTTGCAGAGCAGCTGCAGAGCTGTGCCACTGAGAGCCACTGCTGTGAGAGGGCAGGTAACCCGTGCAGATGTGTAGTCGTGTACAGCTTTAGTTCACATGTTGGTGTTCAGCGGCTCTCTTACAATATGAAAATCCCGTTCCCATTCTGTACAGAAAGGACTGCACCTGTTTTAGAAATCACTGGATTTCAACACACTGCTTGTTTCAATAAAACAAATAGTTTCAACAAAACAGATAGTTATCCTTTATTCCATAGTGCCGTCACCTGAGTGCAATTCACTCCTTAGTCTAAAGGTGAGGAAACGAGTCCATGCCAACTCATGGCAGCTTGCCGTAAGAGCTGTTAAGTCCAAAAGTGTCTTTTGGACACCTAGGATATGTGCAAACAGAAGGATGTCAGTCTGCTTGATGTCCTTAGCTCTAGTCTGACCAGAAATAAGCTTCTGTCAGTCCTTTGTTTTGGTAAATGTGGAACTGAGTGTGCAAGTTCTTTAGCAACCTGGTTAGCGTCTCTTTTGAAATCAGCTCTTCTTTTAACTGATTCCCATTTTATCTCAGTTTAGCTGTTGGCATATCTGAGATCTGCATTTGCCCTCTATTGGAAACAGTGCACTGTGCATCGTTTCAACTGCAAACATTTGTCAAAATGACCTTTGAAGTCTTTCTTTCTGCATTATTTTCTTTTGCAGATTTATCATTTATCTGGTTTTGGCTCCACTGATTGCATATAAGAGAAGATATTTATGAAACCATTGTGGCCTGATTATTTTTTTTAAAGACAAGTTATTTCAGAATATCTTAGCAGGCAGAAGTCTGCTGGCAAATACTAGCATATCTTGGATTGATATCAAGTTGTCCAAAGACAAAGCATATTTAAAAATAAATAAAACCCCTTGTAACTGTTATTTTGAGCTGTGTTCATATAATCTTAACTAATTCAGTATTTCACAGAAATTTTGTTGTGAAAGAAAAATTGAATTCTCTTTGGATTAGTAGAAATTAAGAAAATTTTAACGTGATTATTCAGCTCATTCTGCATTTGCCTTTTCCTTTGTGAATTGGAAAGCTGAAAAAAATCAGATCACATTTGGTTCTATTAGGAATATTTGTCAAGAGTTTCAAAGCTTGGTAGCTGCTATCACAAAGAAAATACTTCCCTTTGTTTTGGAGTCTGTGGTGCCAGGTCTAATAAGGTAATTTCAAGCACAGCTACAGACTTGATTTACATTCTTTCAGGAACTCAAGTACTATTTATGTTGAAAGTTTGTAGGGGTAATTCTTAAGTGAAAATACTTTCCATATAGATTTGAAATACAAATATTATATGTATAAAATAAACATTTATACATATTTATTATATATAAATAGATATACATTTTTATATAATGTATATAAATATAATAAATATTTTTGCTATAAATAAACTTATATTTTCGAAATCAAGAACTGAGGTGTTTTGAGGTACAATTCTGAGGATCACAAACCTCCTGGTGGAAAATAAAAGAATATATTTGGACAGTTATCAATTGCTTGAAAGTTGAAAAAACATGTCTAAGTGAACTATTTTCCTTGCAACAGTGTGTCCTGTACGATTTCAGCTTGAAACATGAAACAACTGTCATTAATATTCACTTTGAGTAAAGAACAGCTTTAATAGTGTCTGTACTCATCCAACACTTCACTCCAAACGCTGTTCATCACACTGAACACTCATTCTGTGCAACTGTTTGTTTGCAGCACAGGACAGATTCTCCCCGGTATAGCAATATGTCTTGGACAAACGTCTAGCAATTATTGAAAAAAATGATTGGTGAAAGGCAAAATGGGAATCTTCAGGGGTCTTGCAGAGGGTTCGTGGGCCTCCAAAGGACCATATGGAAAATCTGACTACTCCAATACAGACAGGAAATATGACATGTAATAGAGCAAGTTTATAGTATTTTTTGTGCATATTAAATTATAATGAAACACTTAATCCAGTAAAAGAAAAGAAGAAATAGCTGGTTTTTCTGATTTAATAATTACTAAATGAACCTGTCACATTGATATAACTGTTATGAGTACTTTTTAATATGCTACACTTTACATTAGCAAATACTGTGTAGTAGGAGTGGATCTGTAGAGCAAAGCAGCCCAGCTAGTGCTGAGGACATGACATTCACACACTGTGCATTTCTGCCTCCACTGGGATTCTGATTCTAGTCTGGTGTTGAATGCTGTATACCCATGACTAGCTGGAGCTCTGCTTTAGTTTGATCCAGAAGGAATCACCTCACACATGATATGTGGGGATGATTGAAAAAATTTCTTCAGAGTAATTTGGTAAATGACCTAAAAATAATCCGGAAAATGTCTTATCAATGGAATGGTGAATTATAATGGTTTTGTATAGGGTGTGCTTCACATAGAGGGCTGCAATCCATTTTGAGACATTGTTTACTTTGGGTGCTCACAACTTGGCCTTGAACCTTGTGTTGTTCCTAATTTCTTTGGGTAGTCCAGCTTTTGGAGATTTCTGCTGGATGGTACTGTGTGTTCCATGTTTCAGAATTGAAGGCATAGGTGGGACATAGACACAAATAGGGCAGTTGCGAAGTTTGTGTCATTTTGTTATCAGGGTATGTGTGGCGTTGTGTTTTTCCCAGCTGTTTTACTTTACATGTTCTTCCTGCATGTACATGGGCAAATGAAGGCAAAGACTAGTACATGTTTTTCATAAACCATATGCAATATGGTCAGTTAATAAAATAATATGTGACATAAAGAATTCTTTAAAAGAATTCTATTGTCTGTCCCAGTCTATGTCTGGAGAGGGAGTGGTAGATAAGAAAACAGAGAAGGAGTTGAAAAATACTGACTATAACAATATTTATTATGATAGTGAATAATTTCTCCTCTTCTGGGGATCAAGGTCTTGAAGCTCTCAATGTTAAAAGAAATAAACTGAGAACAGCTTTGTTTCAAAAAAAGCTTTGTTACAGCTTTGTGATGGCTGTAACATCACTCGTCATAAAGGAAGTGAAGAGCAAAGGCTACTGGCTTGCTCTGGAATGCTCAGCAGTAGGAGTTCGGGGGGGCCAGGATAACCTTCATGGTGAAGATGGCACAACCTGTCAAACCTCTCTTTACTCCATTGTTAACTGGATGCTTTGGGCCAGTACTGACTAGCAGTGGCATCACCTGTCCAATGGATGTATTCAATGTACAATGAATCAGAATAATACAAAGAAATAAATCTATATTGGAAAAAACTTGAGATCCAGAATGCACCTAAATTATTTGAGGATGAGGAGATAGTAAATGATTATAATTGAGTTTCAAAATGATAGATATCTCTTGAAATGGGCATTGACTTGTTTACCTTTTCCCCAAGAGTTAGGTGTAAAAGTACAGCAGCATACAGGAATGAAATGGCAGAACATAATTGGTGTTTAAATCCAGAACCACCCTTTGCAATACCTGTTATGGCTGCTTATTTGACTTCCATAAGAATTCTATTTTACATGTTGAAAACCAAACTGGTTTTTGTTTTTTTTTGGTTTTTTTTTTTTTTTTTTTGTGTCAGGGACTGTTATTGGTCCTTTTTTGAATGTAGATACTGTGTTAGTAGGAGTTGGTTTTAGGTATAATTTAACTGTAAGAAATATCTGAATATTGTTGGGTTTTTTGCTGATTGCAAGAAATTTACAAATTTTGGAAAAATTTGTTTGTAAATGGTACCTTCCTGAGAAGAATCACAGCGCATGCTCAGTTACCCCTTGGCCTTTATCTCGGAATGTCATGAAAGAAATTTTTAAGAAGAGCTATTTTAATATCAAAATGAAATTGTATTAATTGTTGCAATAGAACTAATAATTGAGATGAGTCATGCTAGAGTGAGGCAATGGTTTCTGCAATAAAAAAGTATTTTTACTTCTTGTTCAAGTTAAATATCACTAGATTCAGAAAGCACAAACACACCTTCTAGTCTAGGGGGTTTACATTCCTTTTAAAATGATCCCACTGGTTTAGCTCAGTTTTCATGTTCCAGTGAAGTCTGTATAAATAGCTTGCTTAAAATGTGAATGTAGCTTAGACTAAGAAATTCCTGCTGTGTGTGGCAAGCTATGAAAGGGGAAGAAAATTCTATAGCAACTGTTGTTAGAAGGACAGATATCATGTTTGGGCATAGATTGTTTGGTGTGAGTATTAGCTGTCTACTTTTCAGTACAGAGTCCCCACTGGGTTTAGATCGAACTTGTTTTGAAAGTACATTGTAGATCAATACAACAGGGGCCAGTTGATGGCTGAGCAGTCAAATATCAGTGCAGCATTCCTCCAAAACTCTGTTTCTAAAGGTAGTCAGCTGTATTTGCTGAAACAGGAATGGTACAAGCTTTATGTATGAAAACATTGAGAGCTGGTTTTGTTTATAGTGATTCAATAATTCACTTGTTAAATAGCATTTCAAAAAGCTTTGTGTTTGCAGTAATAATCTTGAAGATTTGGAAAACAATTTTGTTGGTGAGAACCTTGAGCAAATAAAAGAGCTAGGAGTTAATTGTGTTATTTAATGCAATTCCATTAAAGTTACCACAGATACCCTGAGAAAGCTTCCATGTGGAATTTCTGCAGGTTTCAACAGATTTTCTCATTTTCATGTGCTGAACAGGTAGGAGCTTTAAACCTACTCAAATTTTTTAATCAGTCTCACAGTCAGCAGGTTGAAATAATATGTATGACCTTTGGATGTGAACTCCTTATAGAATTAAATGAATTTTCAGCAAAGAAATAGCTTTGGTTATTCTGTGTCTGAACTGTACTGATTAGGGAACAGATGCACCAGTGCATGCATTCTTACTAGGTATCTGAAACATCCAGTGATTAAAGGAAAGTATTTGGGAAAATATTACAGCCATGCACTAAAATGGAGTGTTGAATTATCATTTCCTGGTGTTCTCTTAGAAGCCTCCACCATGAGAAGTGCCATCAGGAGAAGTGGCTGGCTGCTCTCTCTTCCCTGGCTGGTGTGAAAGGGCAGAGCAAGCATGCCTGTTTTCTGTCCTGTAGGGAGATAACCTCTCCTTTTTCATCTATCCCAAGAGAACTGGGAGACTGGCACAGGGAAGCATAGCTTAGTTTTTATTTCATTAAATAGTTTATTTTGAAAATATTTTCTCTCTTTATTCTGAAATTTGATGTATGTCATGAGCCATCATCTAGTCAGACCTGCAATCCTACAAAGCCTCTGTATTTCCACAAGTGCTTTCTTTGTGTAACAACAGCAACAAATAATTAAATAAATATGATATATGTGTGTGTGCGTGTGTACATATATATGTATAAATAGAGAGTTCTTTTAATTTGCTGCCTTGAAATTTCTTGGAAGAGCAAGAGAACTGAGAAGAGAGTCTGCCCTCAGGAGCACTATGTCTTATACCATGTCTCACTGGAGACTGTTCCATTTGTTTTGATGCACTTTGATTTGCTAAGTAGCTTGGGGTCATCTTAACTTAAGAGTCTTTAGGAGCTCAAGAACAGCTAATGCAAAGTGGGTCAGGAAGGCAGTGCCATTTAAAGTACCACGAATATTTCAGGCTGTTTGGCAGATCCAGCATGTCCTGCATGTGCACAATGTTCACCAGTTATTTTGGGATGAGTAGGGGGAATAACTTGAGTGCTTCTGGAGATTTGATGGACACAGTGCTGTGTATTGTACTGAGCCGGGTTTGTGTTTCAGAGCACTCAGCTACCCTGGGACAGGGCAAGGACTGTGCAAATCTAAGGCTCTAGTTCTTCCATTGAGAGAACTTTTCTAAAATCAGGGCTTCCATAAAGAAGTAAGGATGCAAGACTTGTTGTTGTACTTAAATACTTTGCTGAGTCAGAAAGAAAAGAAAGACTTGGAAAGAGGGAAGTTTTTGATAGTATAAGAATAGATTTTAAAATGACATCACTGTGGGTTTACTGCAACATTCCCTTAGGTCACACTTGAGTCATTTAAAAACAACGTGCAAGATACACTTGAAAATAATTTACAACTGCTCCAGCAAACTCAGCTAAATCTCCTGCAGAAGTGCTTGGTGACACTCTGGAAGCAGCTCCCTGCAGTCAGCTGGAATGATGGGCAAGTGCGGAAGTGCCATGTGCCATTGGAGTTAAACAGGGCTAGGGGCACAAACTGGGTGATCATGGCCATTCATAAATTTGTCTTTAAAGTGGCTGGAGCTGTTGTGATGATCAGTGTAGCAGCTGCCTTTGATCTTTCTTTATTCGAGTGGCTGAGGTAACTTTTATTCTGTTGTGGGATTGCACTGGAGATGTAGCTTCTGGGTAGTAAAACTTCAAATGGTAGATTCGGGTGGGGCATGTTGTGCCATTTGTGTCTTTGAGACCTTTGGTAATTGTTGCTAACCTGGTAATCATTTTGGCTTTGTAAACTTGGGTGAGAGACCTTTCAGCTTTACAGTGAAGTCTGATTGTGTACCTTCATTGCCACACAAACTTCATAATTACTTGTGCAGTTATGCCAAACAGCTTCAAGTATTTATCACAAAGTGTGGACCAGAATAACAAAACTGGAGAAGTGCTCTTCATGAACATCCAATGGTCTGTGCACACTGGAGACAGCAAATTTTAAATGAAAGTAGGGAATAACAGAGGAAAGCATTTGATTGTTGATAAAGCTTCTCATTAACACCTCTTTCTTTCAATGAGTGTTGTTTTCAGTAACAGTTTTTTGCAACAAGCTCTGACTTTTCAATGAATACTTGTTTATCTTCTTTTATCATCCAAGAGTTCTGCACTTTTCCCATGTGGGAAAATATGTTTCATTGTTTAAGTGTTAATGTTCAAACCTATTTCATAACCATGTTTTAGTTTGTAGCCTTTGTTTTGTGTAAAAATAAAATAGATTTGTATTTCAATAATTTCCTGTTAAATCAGCAATATATTTATCAATCTTCTCATGTCTCAGTAGAATAAATATAAAATTAATTTGGTAATGTTTTTGGACTAAATTACAGTATATATGTATGTTCACCATTCTAACTTTTCCTGTTTCATTTTTTTAGGGAGAGCCTATTACTTTCTGTGAGAATAGTTTTGTGAAGCATCGTTCCAGTACAACTAAGCAGTTCCTGGAAACAGCTGTTAATCTTCAACTGTTTAAACAGGTATTAGAGGGTAAATTGCCCATATTTAAGGATTTTCTGATTAAACATATCTGTGTTTAAATAAATTGTCCTTTCTGTCAGCCTACAAAAGTCTGGAAAGAAATCTATATCCAAGTACTTTGGGTACAGTCATCCCAGATTTGTTGTATTTTTATAACTGCAGTTACAGTTCAGAGGAGTGGTGGTGAAACTGAGCAAAAAAATAACCCCAGGGTGCAGAGCCAGTGCAGCATCTATTCAGAGCCAGTCAGCAACCCAGCTAAACAAGAAAAATCAGGGTTCTCCCAGCTTGATGGTTAAACTTCATTTTCAGCTCTCTTGGCTCATGCCCAAAGAGCCTGAGAGTGCCGAACTTAAATTGGAATTCACTGGTCTTTATTTAAAAACTGGATTCAGCTTGCAACTTCAGTTTTGTTTGCTAGGCTTTTTGAAGTATGCACACAGAGAATGTCACAAACCTGGGCTATAGGGGTGGCCTGAACAATATTCTAGCTGATCTCTTAATGCAGAATTTGAATTAATAGAGGACAAATTGTTGAATATCTGGGCACAGCTCAGTTGTAGTTTGATTACAGTCTTTGAAATGGATTTTGTTCTTTCATTTTATTCTGTAACTCTTCTCTCTTTTCATCTGTTGACCCCATTGCACGAAAAGGGTGTTAAACTTAGACTTTTATGAAAATCAAGGAAACTGTGAATGAAATCAGAAGATTCATGAAAATATATATTTGTTGCAAATACCTGGAATGATTGATACACAGGAGTTCATGTTTAAATAATCAGTGGGACTTCTTTGAAGATACACAACCATGATAGATTAGGGAAATCTATTATATGTACAATCTTCTAATTTTTAAAAAGCATTTGGTGTTAATCAGAGGGTAGTGTCTGTCGTAAAGATTTGTGGGACGATGGTATTTTGTAGAAGTCCCATGAAAATATGATCACAAATTGGGCCTCCTTCAATTTTACTGTGGTTATATAAAATAAGCAATAAGAAATCTGAAACCTTTTGAAGTCTGGTTGATTGGATTGAAATGGGAAAAGTAACTGATTGAAGTGTGGTTTACATTTTGTGTATCTCTGTGCAATAAGATGCACGTGAAATTTTCTTAATGTGAAATTTTTTTAATATGAAAATCTTCATAGCATGAAATTTTCTTAATACAAAGCTGCTTACAAGCAATGTTTCTAAAATGTTGTCACACTGGCAGTACTGAAACAAAACCCTCAGCTGCCATGAATGGGGTGGCTCTCTGCTTACCCATTACACTTTAATGTGCTCAATTAAACAGAATCAGTTTACAATTTGTTTATAGCTTGTTTTAATTTTATTTCAATTGAAGGAAATAATAGAGGATTAGGAAATAGTAACAATTTTGATGATGTGTGTGGTTTAATAGTGGTAGTAGTAGGGTTTTTTTTATTCCTCTGGTTCTTGTTGCAAAGGTTACTCCTACTTACTCTGTTAATCGTCAGCCCAGCTGCATCTTCTCCAATTTTTTCCACTGACAAATGAGCTGTTTTCAAAATTGTTTGTATTCAAAGAGATCAAACTGTATTTTATTCTGCTCTGAAAGTCCTTTAAATAGAAAAAAAGTTCTTAGGGGCAGCCTGAAACCTAGACCAAGCAGAAAATTGGTACTTTAAATACACCCGTTTTGCCATAATTGACAAGTGAGCTTTATTTGTGCTGTTCTATGAAATCCCTCCTTTATCCCTTTAATTTGGATATCATGGAACATAACTAACCTTTGTATCAAGCTGCAAACATAAGTAATTAATAATTGCATCTAATGTGTCAAATAGTTCTCATGAGTCTCCAGGGAAAATATAAATTCATTCTTAGAACTAGTCTGAAGCCTAATGCATAGTGTACTTGTATCAGCAAGGTAATCTGCAATGTTTATTGTGATTTTTTTCCTAACGTATTAGAAAGTGTTACTTAGAAAAATAATTAATGAATACAGAAATCAGAAGCCTTTGAAAATCGTTAGTAATTCAAATTTTGTTTACCATCTTTATGAGCTGTGCTCTCTTCTTGTGAGATATGAGCTGTTATTTTGTGGAAATCACATTTATGATGTTTTCTTTGCTTCTAAAAACCTTAGTTTTAAAAATGGATAAAATTACTGGATATTCTAAATATATGTAGTCTCTATTTTGGTTTTAGAACTCAAAACCAGTTGAGGATAATGTCTTTAGTCACCTTAAAATCCAGAGGTAACACTGGAATTGCTAGTTTTTCATTGAAAGAGGTAGTTGCCCAAGGGCTCTTTGGATCTCAAAGTGAATACATTTCTTGGAAGAGCAGGCCCAGATTTTTCAGTCTGTGGGTATGAAGGGTGTGGGTTTGAAAAATGGAAAGAGAAAACACATAAATTTTATGTGTAATTCCACATGCTCTTCTTTTCATGTAGCAGTTTAAGTGCAACCATTAACAGTAAATTACTCAAAAGTAACAACTACTACTACCACCACTACTAACCCTTATCATTTCTTTTAAATAATGTCTCCAGTATCTTTTTGCTAACAGTTTTCTTTGTCAGTATTTACATTAAATACTCAATTGGTGCGACCCTCTCATATTCAGTCAGTGTCTCAGCCTTCTGTTGATAGGATTTTACCAGATGATGAGTATGTCCATAAATCTTATGCTAGTTTATAGTATGGAATGAATTAATAACTTTCCCCAAAGAGATAATGTGGTACAGTTCAAAGGAAGGGATGGGAGTGGAGGTTGTTGTTTTTGGGGGGGTTTTTCACAGCAGTAGCTAAAGATGCTCTTATCTTACTGTGAAATAATCCAGTGATCCCACAGTGGTCTGACCATGAACCAGCCTTTTTGGAAAAAGGCCAGCTTGGAGTAAAATGAAAAAATAAGAAGGAATTTAGACAAGGAAGAGAGAGATATCTTCATGCTTACCATATTCTTGCTTCTGGAATTTTTGTACTCTGAGAAAGTTGTTTTTTCATGTCACTAGTCTGTTCATTGGCAAGCATCAGATTGTCACTGACACTGTTTGGATAATCAGTCATAAAAAATGATACAGTCAAATAATTAATTTTGGTTCATTCCTATGTACTGTTTAATAGCAGTGAATAACTCATAATTCTTGGTAGAAGATGTAGTATGTAATTGGAAAATTGCTTTCTCACTTTATCTGTCAGACTTGAGTAAGCCTTTCCAAAACAAAAAGGGAGGGCTTGCTTCTTGAAACAATTTTAAATCTATAAGAATGTGCTTGTTCTACTTCCTTGAAGCCTGATAATTCTTGAAATGAATGTATTCATCACTTCTGAGTGGTTTAATCATTAATTTTCTAATTTTGACTTTTTCTGACACATTTGGATCATTTCATCTATGTATGTACACTTACTTGTAGCTGCAAATTCATGTGGTCTTGCAGCTGTAACGTCTACATAAGGATAGCTGTTGCAATATGCATCTGTAGATGCACCTAAATAAGGGGTTAGTGCTTAAAAAGACCCATGATTTAACAGCAAGACATGAGAGTGACCTATATATGGTTATGATAACAAATCCAGAGTTACTATTAAATAAGGAAATAAATTATTTTCTTGCCATTAGAAAAATACAGAAAATATAAATAATTTTCTTGATCTATACTCTATATTCCTGCTGCTCATAGTTACACCTGCTCTTGTGTAAAGATAAAAAGTCCATCTGAGAGCAGTGTATTATCCTTAACGTACAGATTCCATTATAATGGACACATTTAAAACTCTAACACTGTAAAGCAATAGAAGAGACAACAAAGTGTGTGTGACCCTTTTTGTTTTCACTTCCAGTTTATTGATAGTCGACTGTCAAAATTAAATGCAGGAAGAGGATTCTCTGATGTTTTTGAAGAAGAAATCACAGCAGGAGGCTTTTGTGGAGGTACAGAATTAATTTGGGAGTACTCATTGACACTTCTTTGAGAACTGTTTGACATGATGTCCTCATGATGTTTTGTAAGTTTTGGATGTCATTGGTCTTTTTACTGTTCTATTGTTTCCCTTCATTCTTGGAAAGGTTTTAGCCTTTAACAAGTCACTGCTGGGATACACACTATTATGTATCTAGTTAAACCAGTGTATTAAATATGTGATATGTGATATTAATTATGTGTGTTGAATCCTGTAAAGTAATACTTATACTTCAGTATAGGATGAGATATCACTATGGTGTTTACATTTTAACTGCGTATTTATATATACCATGCATTCTGTGTAAACTGTGTTTTCAAAATAATTTTGACATTTGTGCTGCTTAACTTCTAGATAATTGTGTTTTCCATAAAGCCTTCATTTTCTTTTCACATCTACTTATTTCTGCAGTGTAGAAATCATGGTGATGTCCTGAATGTTAAGAGAAATCTGCTTTCTCCAATGAATGTGTTACTCCACAAAAGCGGAAGTTGTTTTAAACTTTTATATATGATCAGAGAAGAGACATGGAAATTTATCATCTTTGTAAACAAAAATATTATTCCTCATGTTGTTTGCCTCATTTGTGTTCACTGACAATTGTTAGAACACTTTTTACATCAGCTGACCCATTTGGAACAGTGCATCCTGAATCCAGTGCTGATTTACAGGATTATGGAGTGGTTTCCTGTTAAACATTTAGGACAGGTGTATTGTTATTTTAGCTGTTGTCATGTTCTAAACCCAGCACCACACAGCTGCTCACTCCATTGCAGCCAAAACCAGCCGAGATGTAAGAGATGGTATCAAAAGATGGAATCAATATATGCATGACTGTAAAAATGCTATTTTATGGTCAATCTTGAAAGTTGTGTAGAAGCTTCCTCAGTAGATGGAGGTTATGTGGTTTGAGCAACTCCAGTCAAGGTGGAGGTGCAGATGGCAGCTTTGGATGGATTTCCTTTGCACGACTGTCCTTGAATGGGACACATTGAGGAGAGGATTTGGCCCCCACAGAGAAACTATCAAGTGCTGCAGAGCCATCTGCACCCCATTAAAAATAACTTCTGTATACTCAAAGTGCATAATTTCTTTTGTTCAAGATTTTCACTGCCTTCTTCTGCCTTCTGTGTCTTGTGCTAGTTCTAGTACATAATCTGGTGGTTTGTTTCTTGATAAAATTGTGGTTAGTTTTACAGAAATTTACTTCTTCCCTGTCTTTTTAGGGTAAGTTATGCCACTCTGTAAGCAGATTTGAGACTTCAAGCATCAATTATTCAGATAGGTGATGTCAGTATTCAGAGCTCATTTGCTGACTGCAGTTAGGGGTCAGGAGGCTGCAATAAAACTGCAGTAGAAGTTAGATAAAGCTTGTTTCTTGGCTGTGCTCTGGCAGGCTGTGAGCTGTGTCTCACCTGGCTCTGCTCAGGAGGGACCGCTCAGCTCTGCTGGCAGTGCTGGGCTGCCTTGCACTGCCTGTGTGCTTTTCAAGTCAGACAGGCTGATAGTGCCAGGCTGTGGACAAATTGCTTAGGGCACATACTCAGTATTTACATAACTGCTGTCTCATTATTGTTATGAAGTGCAGGGCTAACAATATGTGTGCAATTGAAGGTGACACTTTCTGACGCTAATGGGGTAGAACTATGATCTCTTTGCGGACTTAACTCCCATCAGCTTCAGCAAGAAGCCCAGGGTTTGAAAATAAAAGGTGAAACCCAGATTTCAGAAAAGTCACAGAAAGTTACTGTTAGCTCCAAGCTGTTAAAAGGACAGGTGAACACATTCTTAGTGTAGACAGTATAATTTAAAAACTACCGAATCAAATTCAAATAGAAAGTGTTTCTTTTAGTAATCTCTTTGTAAATTTGCTGCATTTATCCACATATGGAAGTTTAACTAAACCAGAAAAGAAAATTGCAGAATAAATTTTTTTTAAATTATTTTTCTTTAAAAAAAAAAAAGAGGTCAAAACTTATTTGTGTATCTACACAAATCTGAAAATAAACTTGTGAGACATCTCCATTACAGTTTGCACTTTATAATTGAAAGTTTATTTTCTCTTACATTTTTTTCTCTGGAAGTATTAGTTCTCAAGAGATTTTCAATACAAGAATGTAGTGATGGATTAGTTTAGCACTCAGATTTCTTGTAGAATATGTTAATAATTTTTAATTACATTAATTTTACTTACAGCAGGAATTTTTTTTTTTTTATTGGTCTAATAGCACTGGTGCTGATAGAAGAAAAACTGAAAAAATAAAAACTTTTGAAACTCCCTTGTAATGATAATTTGTTTTAAGGAATCAGATTTTTTTGCTAGGGCTTCAGGAGGTTCAGCTCTAGCTGAGGGCATGCAATGTTAGCATGGCTCTCTGTAGTAGCCAGAGGATTTATCTGGTCTCTGATTGTCATTCCTGAAGTGTCACTACATAACTAGATGGTCATTTGCTGTGATCCCATTTATTGTTTCTATTAATTGTTTAAGTCAGGTTGTGACAGAGAAAGCTCAGCTGAGGAAAGAGTTACTGTTAAGGACACCTCAAGACAGGTGATACATGAACATTGTTGACAAGAATTGAAGTGACGAAATACCATGTTAAAGAAAGCATTTATGGTTCATGCAGTATCCTTAGCACCCCAGCAGTGTTAGATTTCACCTTGTACATGTAGTTTATGTGCTTCCTTCCCTGGCAGTTCTAGGGAGCCAAATCAAAGAAGTGAAAAATGAGTTGTTTCTGTTTTAGGTTGCTTTTTGCCGTTCTTAATGGAATCAAAATGATCATGAGGGTCTCTCTAAGCAAGCATAGCTTTCACTTCTGCCATCATTCCTGAGAGTCTGGCTGTCTCAACATTGCTTGTAAAATTGAGTGGAATGGGTTAAAGTACCTGATATGAACCTAAAGAGTTCATGTTTCTTCACCTCATCTTGAAAACTGGGAATACCTTGTCTAATGATCCAGTTAGTTCTCAGAAGTGTTCTAGGGTGTGTTTTGGCTTTCATTAGCCATTGGAATAATTCTAGCCACGCCTTAGTTAGTGGATTATTGTAACACTTGAGGAGTTTTGTGAGCTGTTAAAAGTCTGTAAGGTTATATATGGTCCTTTCAATATGGTCAAACTCTTTTTGAAGCTGGAACGTTCTTGTCAAAGTGAGTGTTGTGTATGGGGTCAGTAACAGCTCACGGTACTGCAGTATTCCAGTGACTGATGTACTCTAAAACTTTCTCAGGGATCATGGACCTAGTCTTTGTTGTTCAGCTGAAGCACTTTCGGGAGGTAGTATTGACTTCTTCATCAAGTTGAATTTAACGTGCTCCTTTGTGGACAGTTTAGTCGTTGGTGGTCCTACAGAAGTCAGTAGCTCTCACTTGCCTTTAGAAGTTTTTCTTTCTGAAAGAAAGCAGATACAGTTAATAATTTAAAAGGATTTTTTCTGCGTGGGAATATACAGTTGTGACATAACCCTTAGACTTTTCTCATGTTCATAGCTTCGTATGGTGCCTTCTGGAGTCCATGTCGTTGTTGTGTTTGGAAGTTTGCACAGAGGGATCATTATGCTTGAATGCAATTAATACCTTATTCTTTCCTCTGAGTTAGTGTTTTTCTTTTTATACTTTCTAAAAGTGTGTTACCTTATCGTTGTCTTAATTTCTTATTTACCTTAATTGGAATAAAACTGTGTGGTGAAAACATAAGCTTTTACAAAGGAAACAGAAAACAAGCAATAAGAGATTCCTGAGTTTCTTTCTTAGTGTACACATACTCTTATCTTCGCATTCCTTGTCTATCTGGAATTAATTTAATAAGTAATCCTCTAAGTACATTTTTTATTCTGATAATGAAGAGGGTTGCAACATTTAAAATGTTGAATGTATGCTTGATTGTGTTAATTTGACATTTCTCTTTCAGGAAATTCAAGATCTTATCAGCAGTGGATGCATACAGTGAAGGTATAAACTTGGTTAAGTAATTATATTGGCCACCTTGTCCTTTAGGTCTCAATCATTCTCCTTATTTCTGTGTAATGGTAAAGTTTGTTCATTTGTGAGAAATATGTAAGTACATTCTGTAAGAAATATCAAGTCTATGGTATTTGCAAAAATTGTTTGTTTTTTTATTGAAGAATTAAAAAAAATTCCCATATGCAAAACAAATGCCAAAATGCATAAGGTTTTTATGTCTGTATAGTCAAAGATTTCAGTGCTTTCTGTATCATGCTGCATTCCATGACTCTGAATTAGGTGTGACAATTTGATAAGAAGCTTATCCCTTCTAGCAAATAACAATTTTGTTAATATGGATTTGTTCAATTTGGCTAGCAGAAGACCCTTGGTATAACCTTGTTATTCTGCAGCATTAATAAAATACATTATTTTAGATTAAGAGAATTCTTGTTTGATTAAATGAGATAGTTCTTCCTGTCAAGTCAAAGTTTTTTTAGTTGTATAATAAATATGATAGGAACACATGAAAAATAGCCTAAATTCTGAATTGATTTTGAAATGGTAACAGTGAAAGAAGGCAGAAAATCCATCATTCTGTTGGAGTGCCTTGATAAATGTGTCAGCTGTGGGATGACGTACTGTAACCCTTGTGTAGCTGCAGACAGCAGGCTGGGGAGGAAACACAGCTGTGCTTGCTCTTACCCATTTCAAAGGAGGGTTGTTACTTCTTCACAGCACACTGTTTATTTTCCTTGCTGTTGTCTTAAGGTTTGCCTTGTGTTAAAATGTTACTAAAATACATTTCTTGTGTATTTCAGAAAGGCAGTGCACTGATCAACACAGCAATGACCAAAGCCACTCCGGCTGTGAAAACAGCATATAAATTTGTAAGATCATCTATTTCAAATAAATAATACATTAAAAACCTGCAATTTCTGACAACCTCTCATTCTCTCTGAATGCTGAAAATCCTAAGCATTTTATAAATAAATTGCAAAACATTCTTCAGCCTGTAGAAAGTGAGCTTTATTTGTTTTCTCATATAGCACTAGGATTTAGAGTTGTTTGAGATACAGTAAGTACATAAAAATAGACTTTATCAAAGCATCAGTGTGCTGGTTTTCTTTCAGTCCTCATACATACCAGAAGCTTATTTGAATATCATTTAGATATTTGATGCACAGCTGTAATTTCACTTTGGCAGTAAGTGCTGCATTATTGAGATGTGGTAAAGCATCAGTAATGTGTGCAGCAAATCATCTGCTCCTTTTAAAAAATGATAGTGGAATACTCATGTTTAACTGGGTTTAATGCTTATACTTTTCATCTTAAAAGATCTTGATTTTCAAAGACTGCCTACCCCATCATGCATGTGAGATTATACTGTATTATGCAGTATGGTAAAGCAGCAATAGAAAAAAATGAACCGAGAAGTGTTTTAAAGTTGCTTTTATAGTACAGAGGAAAAGATTTTTGGCTTCCTTTTTGATTTTCCAAATGTTTTGCTAGCTGGATGCATTATAAATAGTCCTGAATAAATCAGTAAATCAGTGTGTACTAGATTATTTTAAGTAAAGTTTTCAAACAGAATTTTTAATTTTACATCACTTGAAAAACACAGCAGTCGTGGAAAGAAACAGGTAAATAAATAAAATATACTTCATATTCATGGACTCATTTATAATTTAAAAAATAGTTCATCTGCAAATTCTTCTTCATTTGCACTATCTTAGACTGTGGTTCAGCCTTCAGTTTTGGTAATTATGCCCTTGATAGTAAAGGTTCTTCAAAGGGAACTTCAGTATATACCAGGAAACTACAGTAAACTTCTGAGGATCTTTATGTATATGGTGTCCGTATTTCTACCCCATTTAATTTCTTACATTGTCCTCCTTTATGGAGCCTACTACCAGAGGACTGAAATATGCATTTCTTAATTGCCACATAACTGATTTGGAGCTTTGAGTAATGTCATTGGTACCATCCCTCAGAGTTAGAACAAAGCACTCCAAAATTCATCCAAGTGCTATGAGCAGGATCTGGGAAGTTTAAAGTGGCTTTCAGGTTAGCATCTGGTACATGGCACCCCATCGTGCTCTTACTGAGCTTGTGGATGTATGATTTAAGGATCAAAAAGACTCTATGACCTCTTGATTCAAGAAATTTTTTCCTGAATTTCCATGTGCAAAAAACTACAGAGAAATAGATGGCTTTTAGATATTTATGCCCTTGGATGTATTTTAAAATTCCTATTTTCAATACAGCCTTGAAAATTTTTGTAGTTTTTTCCTATATTTCTGTAGGAAAGACAAGTTTTTTTCTGTTAGGGTTTTGGGTGTTATACTCCCATTTTTAATTTTGTGTCCTTCTCCCGCCTTCTCTCTCACTCCCTCTGTGTCATTTTTTTTACCCTAACACCATGGTATTCCATATTGATAATTCCTTCTGTATTGAAGAATATTCTTGGCTGTTTTCTATGCAACAATGATTCTTGTCTGTCTCTTTTAATGCATACAGAATTCTCCCCTAAATAGCAACACTGTGCTGTTCAGCAACACTGGGCAAAATCTCCATCTGCATATGAAATCACTTCATTTCTCTTAAGGTTGATGTTGCCCTGCAAGTTGCCAGACTGGAACGCTGTAGCAGTCATCTTAAAAATCTTAACATTTTTCAACATGCTTTATTGCTGAAATACTCTTTCAAATCAAAAGGAGCATTTCAAATAAAGCAGTTATGTACATGACCATTCTTAGCCTGTTCCTAGTAATAATGGAGAAATTTTGAGAATGTGTGTTTTCACAGCACTGGCATGGATGCACTGAAAAAGAAATCCTTAAATTTGTGGGGAAAGTATGAATATAAAAAATACAGTGGCAATGCGTGTTTGAAATTTGTGATAAAGGTTATTGCCATTTTCTATATCAGCAGGTGTTTAAAAAAAAGGCAAAATATGTATGGCATCACAGGGCATGTTCTGTGACTACAGCCAGTGTCTTGCAGAGCAATTTAAGTCCTTTTATTTCTCCAGGCAAAAAACCAGGCGAGGCAAGGAATAAAAGAAGTGAAGAGTAAGTTAAAACACAAGGTATGTAGTACACGTTATTTACTTTCTTACACTGCTGCCTGTATCAGTTTGAAGCTTATACTTTACAAATCACATGAGATTTGTGTTTTTAATGACTTTTGAAATATGCTTAGCCCTTTGTTCAACAATACATTTTTCATAACGAGCCCTCTGGCAACTATCTGTCATTCTATGCATCCACTGAATAATCTCTTTATTGTTTGCATATTTTATCATAGAACAACAGAGGTCTTCAAAGATACATTAAGAGGATGTATGTTTTCATAAAGTTGATTGCTTTGATATCACAATCAAAGCCTTTGCTTCAAGCTGAGAATTTGAGAAGGGAGAGTCTTGCAGTACACTGTATTTCAGGAGGTGCAGTTGTCCAGTTTTAGTTCCATAAGATACGTGAACAATAGCAGTGTTTCAAGATGAATGAATAGTTCCATTTTGCAAAAGCAACCTCACAAACTCAGAGTAGATGGTTTAAGCATTTTGCAGCTGCTTTTCCTATTTGGAATTTTGCTTCCATGTACGGTTTTTCTGTACAGAGAAGGAACCATTTTTTGGATACCTATGATGCTATTTTAAGAAAAATTTCAAAAACATTTGAACAATTCAACTTTTAAATGACCGTGTTGGTAATCCGGCGTTTTGAAAAGTTAAATTTGATTTTCTTACTACAGATGGTATTTTCATGACAGTAATAGATTGTGGCAAGATAATTTTGAATGCATTCTGCATGCATAATATGGAGGGTATGTTTGCAGATAATGATTATAAATAAAGGAATTTAAATCTGTTTTGTTCCATAGGAGAGTGAGGAAGACTATGGAACGTGTAGTGCTGGTGCAGTACAGACTGTTCCTGTCTACACATCACATTATGACAAAAGAACAAGCTCAGAAAAACGAAGACTGGCACAGGTAACACACCTGAAACTTCTGTTTGCGTTCATATACATACAGGGAAAAATTTTTCCAGGTTACTGTAGTGTTTGTGAATCTGTTTCCTAGATGGTTTTCCTATGTTTGCATAGTGTGATTAAAAGGCTATGTTTATAGAAATACTGCTACACTGCTTGTGTGAAGAAAAAAAATGCTATTTGTGTTTCATCCCTGTTGAGAGGGGAAAGAACAGGAGATCTGTAAGTATGGATCTGAGATTTAATTCTTAAATACTGTTTTTGAGAAACGCTTCTCGCAAAAATACATTCTGATCTGTTCATAGATTTGTGTAAAGCTATCTCATTTATTTTAAGGCATATTAATTTTGTCTTTCTAATAAATTGTTTTGGCAGCCATATGGCCTTTAACCTTGCTCAGATAGTTGTGATTTATTATTTTGTTAATAAGTCAGCTAGTTCATGCAGTGCCAGTGTCTTAGCTTTTGTTCGCTAATCCTTTCTAGTCTAGATTTGAAGTAACAGGTGTAGTGTCTCAACTTTGGCAATTGTTCTAATGATTTCAGATTCATTTTGACAGTTTTGTTTCAAAAATATAAACAGAGTAGTTTTTCTAGCACTTTTTTGTCCCACAAATATTTACCTGCATATATACATATTTTAATGCATAGGTATTTCTTTTTACATTATATTGTTATTGCATGTTTTAATATATGTGGATTTTTAATGCCTGTATCTTCCTAATATGAGAATTAAGTATATAAATTCAGTCCAACTGATCTAGCAGCATTTATTTTTGCTCTAGGTACTGCAATAATAAAAATCTGGGTTGTCTATTTAATCAATTTGATTTTGAATTAGTTTTTATCAGTAGTAAATACAAAGTTTCTGAAATACAACATAGAAGTGATGCAGATGATTGCTAAATGATGGTGAAATTGTACATTAGTATCAAGTCATTATTTTTAGTAGGGTTATAAATAATACAAAGACTTTCTGCTTCACTGATATGGTAGTGCTGCCTATTGTTATGTACAGGAGTCTTGGGATACAAAGGAATATAATTTACCTTGGTACAATTAAAGATTTCTTTTGAAGGTGTGTGTTCAGACAGAACAATTGAACTTTTCTGTGTTTTTGTGTTTGTCCAGCTGCACAGTGCTGCATCCTGCAGTCATTGCTGTTTGTTGTCCAGTTGTCCTTTAGCTTTGCAAACAAGGCAGGAGTGCAGATGTGTGCCTGGCTTTGTTTCCATGCATCCATACACACGTGTGTTAGTGGATGCGTACGCACACGGACACGCACACACGTGTCGGGGGTGAATTTACCAACAAAGCTGGGAACTGAGAGCCTCACAGTTTTGCCCTGCTCCAAACCAAAGGTGTGTTCTCCCCAGCTCTTATCCCAAACATCATATGACCCAGTGGGCAGGAAGGGGCACATGGGGATTGCCCTCCAAGAACTCCTTCATCTCTCACTCATTCAATTCTCTTTTTCCTCCTCCCCAAAAGCAAACAAACCAAAGGACTTCTGAAAAATAAGTCTGCTGTTGCTACTCTTGTTTTTTATTTTTGCTCTTGGTGTTTGAATAAGATAACATAAATTTTTATTAATAAGTGGTGATTTTCAAGTTTACGTCCAAATAAGAATATATATTTGTATTCAAAGTGCATGTGTATGAGAGACCAAGTTTGATCTAGTACTGAATTTGCTGTTTAAAGGAAGTGAAATTCAGTGTGCTGTTGTCAGATTTAATCCTTTTTCTGGTAGTCTTTATCCTGCAAATGAAACTCTTCACCCGGTTCTCTAAAATTATCTTCACCAGTGGCTGTATCAGTATAAGGCTAGTGCTAATGTGGAGTTCAGGCAATTTGATACACATTTAAAGTAAGGACAGGATACTGATTAAGTTATTATATTGGTGTACTGTAATACCCACCCCAAACCTAGATAAATAATGAACAAGAGAGAGCAATTGCTTTTAATGGTCATCCTGCTTCCAAAATAGAGGCACCTCTGCACTTTATTACCATGTCTTCCATACTGAAGCATTTAGAAAATTGTAAATACAAAGAATGTGGTGTCGTATTTTATGTTATATCAGAAGTACGCATTGAGCTTTTCCTTCTCCACTTCTTGGAAACAGTTAAATACTGAGAGTTACCTGAGATGCTGTATAACATACTTTGAAAAGTTATATAAGATATGAAAGTTTGCTTTATTGAGAAAGATAATTTTAAAAATTTGTTCATAACAGGATTTGGGGGTCTGAGAGGATGTTTCCTTTACAATAGGAAGTGAGTCTGCTTTTACCCCAACAAACAGGAGTTTGTATATGGGTCTGCTAATTAGTACGGTTATTTCCTGTTTTGTTGATGAGGCTTTAATAAATGTCAAGGGTACAGCCATGAAGATCTCCCAATTAGGCTTTGCGTTTGTGAAACCCAGCCCCTTTGCTTTTGTGTGAGGATGACAGTTCCAACTGCAGCCTCAGCCTAACAGGGCTCAAGGGAAAGGATACTTCTCTGGTTTTATTGAAAACACAGCCAGTTTGGCCCAGGGAGAATACCAGCACTGGTCACAGTGCAGAGCCATTTTTAACAATGAATATTTACTAAGCTTTATCACTGCTGTCATAGTGGCTTTATTGTATTTTTTTCGTTTCCAGATTGGCAATAGGCTAAAGAATAATCAGCAGTAAATTAAAAAAAAAAATTATAGCATCTAAAATAGCTGTCAAAACCTAACCAGAGGATAAATAATTAAATGTGTTCTTGCAAACTGAAGCGCTCGGCTTGCCCTCCTATAATTTGCATTTTGAAAGTGTTTCCTAAAAGATGGAGCTGAGGGGAGCGCGCTGGTTCGTGCCCGCGTGTGTGCGCGTGTGCGCACAATTAATCTGTGCCCCAACGAGCCGTTCCCTCTGCAGTATTCATCTGAGCTTGCTCCTGCTCAGCTTCGCTGTTCTAGGCTCTGCAGACATGTGTGAGCTAGCTGTATTGCGAGTCAACATTAACAGATGGATTGCCCTAAGCAAGGGAAAACCACAACAACAAAATCTAGTGAAAGTGGAGGATTGAAGCTTTTTATTGTTAAGCCTTATTAAAACCTTGGCATGTGCACTGCTGTTAACTGTTTCATGCCTAGAGCTAATAATGTGTCTCAGATATGTTTCATCTCTTACATTATTAATTAGGAATGTAGAAGATACAAGAAATCACCAGCTAAAATGTTTGAAATAAAAGTTAATGCAAGTATGAGGTTGCTTAGGCTCTGTTTGCAGTATCTTGTGAGTGATGCTGCTGAGTTCCTTTAACTATTGATGAGCAAGGTACAACAGGGCATGTTTTAGACTGTGGAGCATTAGTGTTTGCATAATCTCTTTTAATTCTGTGCCATTATATGCTCCTAGGTAATGCAGATTTCTGGGTATACAGGGACCTAAATGCAGTGGGAGCTTTTTAAAATTGTTACAAATTAATATATAATTAAAAAGAGAGCATGTTTATTATGATCGTGCTTTGAATGCCAGGAAGATCTGTTTGATTTCATGAATATGATCTTTGTAATTTTACTGTTATTAGGTGTTAGGTGTTGGGATAGCTTATTGACAATGGACCATGTCAGGATCTCAACAGTCATAATGTATTTCATGGCCAATAAAACACTCTGGAAGATTATCAGAATACCATATAAGAACAACCAGTTCCCTTTGCAGTTATTAAATTAGCAATGTCCCTTGTCTCTCAGAAAATGTATGTTCTACCTGTACCTTTAGGCACCTACTACTTTCCATCTGTAATGGAAATAGGCATGTGGATTTTAAGGGTGGATTTACCCATCACTGTGTCTCAGCAGTGCTTTAAGTGTTCCTATATTGAAGATACCAAGTGAACTACTCACCATGACTTTGCAGAATTCAAATACAGTGTCTAAGAAGGTTTTTAAAACACTTCTAATAAAAATCAAGTTAGACTAAACTTTTTCTTGGTGTTCTCAAACAGAAGAGTTTTCAAAATATTTTTTGTCTTTCCTTCTTTGTTTTTTTTAAGCATATTGCAAATGGAGCTTTTTCACTTTTATTGAAGTATGTTCTAGAGACTACACAATATATAATTCTGCTTGCAGTAGGTGTGCTTGGCATCTGTTCAACAAACACAGTAAGTGTCAGGCAGGAAGATGTGTTCAGAATAACCTTACCTTCAGGAGTGCCCCATTTATCAGTACCCCTACAATGGCCAGTAAAATAAACGACATAATCATTAGCTACAAAGGACTTCTAGTAACTGATTACTCTCCTAAGCTGAAAAAGGCGATAAGAGTAGCTATTCTGAAGAGAGGGCTATTCTGAAGACTTTATTTTTCCTGAAAAATAAGAGAGGAGATTGTGATAATGCAGTGTTGAATATACATATTCTGTATAAGATGACTGAATATCTTTTAGAAAAAATATCCACAGTCAGCCCCACAATGATTTCAGAAATATAAATCTGATTAAATACATTTACCTTTATTTGTATTCAGACAATGTGCGGGAGATCACATATATGACTACCAACCACATTTAACACTGGTTCCGTTGCTGGAGGTTTTTTCTACCCTTATGGACTGAAATATTATACATTGAAAGAGTCATAAACACTACAAGCTAGTTTTTAATGTAAATCACATTTTGCTTCTGTAAAATACAGTTTTGAAGTAAGCATCGTTTGGTCAGTAAATTCTGTTTCTTTAGCTAATGTGGTGTAATGTGAAAATATTGTAGATATCATTAGCTTCCTTTAATTTGGAGAAAAATCTTTTGTCTTCTTGTGTCAAGTAAGATCTCTTCATTCTGAAAAACAGTCAGATTTCCTTTTAATTAAAAATGAAAAAGCTAGGCAGCCAAAATTCAAATTGCAGATTACGAGAGTGCCCTCTCGTGGCTCCGGCTCCTTTCCAAAGTGGCAGAGCACCGGGGATCCTCTGCCTGTGCAAGCCTTGCCTGCTGCGACGAAGAGCTCTTACAAACCAAAGGGTACT